ACACACACACACACACACACACACACACACACACACACAGCTCTGATATCTGTTTCTCCTCTGCTGTCTCTCTAACACACACACACACAGACACACACACACACAGAGGGAAGCAGATAACTGTGATTCCACTGCTGAATTTTTAACGCTGTTGTGGAACTTTTTTTTTTTTTTCCAGGCGGGTCACTGTGGCACCGGGGTACTGTTACACTCACAGAGACAGGGAGACAGGGTTCAGTTCGTTTCTTTTGTTTACCCGGGCTGGACTGACACAAACTCTGCAGGGCATGTGTGGAGGTACGGTAAGTCCCAAACACTTGATCTACACAACTACGCAAAAAAAAGCCTAAAATTATCACAAATTTTAAACAGATTAAAACTTTTGGCAACTTTTATTTTGTRGAAATAAATATTGATTAAATCTAAACTCAACTTTGATTCTATATTTTTGCAGAGCTGCATGGTTTTCAGTAAAAGTGAGCTTTTCTGAGTTAAATTATCCTTTTATTATAAACAGTATAACATCTCATTTATTAGAAGTGTAAATATTATGTTTTTTTTTTGTTTCCAGCTTTAATATGATTAYAAGTAAAATGTGCACTCAGCCAATATTGTCTTTATGTTGATTTTTAGAGTTTATTTAATGTTTTCACCTTTAAAAGAGTTTTTTATGTTTTGGTCTGCAGCTTGGAGCTCTTTAGTTGCACTCACTGTTCTTTACTGTCAATCTTGGCAGCTTTAATTACCTAAATTATTAATCGTGGAAGGTTTGTTTGTGTGTAGTTAGTGAAACATGTATAGTAAAAAGTGCTTAGGTTTAGTTGAGGTGTTTATTTTGAAACTAAGACCTGATTTAGAAGTGGAATTTAAATTGTTTTGTCATATTTAAACATTTTCAAATTGCTTGATTGTGTTGAATATTGGGATGATTTGTTGTTGGGCTGTCATTGATCTAATAGATGAAACTAAACATGTACAACTTGGTTRAACTAACTTGTGAAATTCATGGAGACGTTTCAGTTTATTAGAGACCGACTCCATCAGGAAGCTGTAAATGTCACGTGTGCAGAGATTAAAAAGAAACTGCAAAACTAAAAAAAGGCTTTATTTAACAAATGATCAAACAGAAAGTTCYGCACTAAGGGAACTCTGAAAGTCCAAACCCAAATGAAAAAATAATAATAACTAGAGGTGATTTAAATCCAATGAAACAATGGAAACCAAGCAGAATATACAATGAAGTTCATCAAAAATAACTGGTGGCAATCTAGAAAGGAAAACTGCAATGTAAAACATTTGTCTAAAAAACTAACTTCTCTCTGTTGTGTCTTAGAGAAAAAAGTGATTGTGCRGAAGTGAAGCTTTCTTAAAGTGCCTGTGACATCAAATTTTTGCAGTAAATACGAATGCATTTTTGGAAAGTCAAGATTGATAAAATAATGCAAAAATAATTTTACTCTGTTGAGATGAACAGCTTTCAAGGAATTTGCATGTGAAGTAACAGGAAGTGATGTCAAAGGGGAACGTCTGCATGTAAACAGAGCGTTGCTACAAGGCTAACAACACAGACTGTAAAGAATCATGTTTCTTTAGATCATTTTGAGTCACTGAAGAAGAGTCAGAGTTCATATTTTGTAACAATAAAAAACGGAGTTTCATTTCATAAAAAGTTCCCCTTTGATGTCACTTCCTGTTCCACTTTGACCAAGCCAAATTCTGAAGAAAAYGTACCAGTTATGTGACAAAATAGGTTAAATCAGTTGTATTGTGCCAAGTTTTTTAAATATAAAGATGCTTTCTTTGACTTTTTATATTTGAGTGAGATGCATGTCGCACTTTCAGAGATGAGAAAGAAGAACCAAGTTTATAACAACAAGCAATAAATGATAGCTTTGTGTTGTTTGAAGTGGGACAAATGAGAACACTGTTATGGAACAGGCCAAGGATTTAATCTCTTCATCATCTATAGTGATCCGATGTCAAATATTCTGGACCAGAGTTTAACTTCATGTTTCCTCTCTTCAGGTCTATCCTGTCCCGATGATGTCACCGTAGCAATATGACCCTGAACACKCAGAAAGAGAAGGAGCTCCTGCGGCGCAGAGGCAGCACGCCGGTTGCCCCCCTCTACAAGCAGCTATCTGGGCCTCGAGACCTCCGGTTCTCCACCAGCAACCAGGCCGGCTCGGAGCACGTCGGACCTCCTCGCAGCCACCCTCCTTTGGGGCACTCAGCATCCTACCACCCCGGAGACACGTCCCTCCACTACCGAGCCCAGTGGAGCTCGGACTCGGACGAGGACTCGCAGAGTGAATCGGACTGTGTTTACCGGGTGGTGTTGCTGGGAGACCACGGTGTTGGAAAGACCAGCCTGGCAGGAATCTTCGCTGGAATCACAGAGAAAGACGAACAGCCTGGAGGTGGGGATGATCTTTGTAGTTGTCTTTCATGTCCCACTTTTGTTTGCCCAAACTTTTTTTTCCCCCTTAGCTGCTTTAACTTTATACAAGATCTTCAATTTATTACACTCTCTAAGATGTCCCTCTGAGCTCTGGCTTTCATCAGCCGTCACAGAATCCAACGTTCCCAGGATTGTTCCGATTTAAAGCTCTGACAGGAAATGACACGTATACACAGTGGAAACAATGACCATCTTTGTCAGTTTGCCACTTTTTCTCTGAGCCTCTTGCTGTCTCAGCATTTTCTGGATCCTTCTACGATGTTGGAATAYAGTTTAAAGTGCCTGTGACCTGAAATATTTAAAATAAATATAAAGGCATTRTTGGAAAGGCGACATCATTAGCATATTGCAAAAATAATTTCCCGCTGCTGAGATGAACAGTTGTTGAGATATTTGCATGTGAAGGAACAGGAAGTGATGTCAAAGGGGAAGATCTGCATGGAACAAAGCATTGATAAATAGCTAACRACATAGACTGCAGAGAAGAATCTGATGTTTCCTTAGATTATTTTGAGTTTCTATCGGAGAGAGCTGAAGACGAAGAGTTTAAATATTGTTTCAATAAACAAAGACCAGAGAGTTCTCTTTCTTAAAGAGTTCCCCTTTGATGTCACTTCCTGTTGCAGTTTGGCTGAGCCAAGTTTAAAAAAATGCCATTTATGTGACAAAATTGATAAAATCGCATGTTTTATGCAAGGTTTCTTGTATAAAAATGTGTTTTCTTTGACTTTTTGATTTTAAAAAGGTACTTTAAGGGTCCTTAAGACTTTTTTGTTTTTTCTTAAAGAAAATATGTCTCATGTCACCTGGCTGACACCGAATGATCAATATGGTATATTACYATCGCTGCCTTTCAATATTTATTACCTTTCATGTTCAGAATACCTTAGAAATAATCTAAAAAGCCCATTTTCAAAACATYACCTTTATTTTACCAGTAATAACTCACACACTTGTATAAAATATCACCATAGTCAAGTACTGAAAGAAATACTGTAAGGAAATTTTCACATAGATGCCCAAAACAAACAGAATCAAAGCACAGATTGGTGCCCTGTACCATTGACTTTGTTGCAACATGGCAATCTGGACTGGCCTGAAAWGATTGATTAGCTTCTGTATCACATGATTACAAACCCCTGCCCTGATTGGCAACGTGTATTGATCTGCAGAGGGTCTGGCAAAGTGAGGACAACAACAGTCTGCAGGCGGTGTCTGAGGGAGTTTGTTGTTTGGCATCACCAAGTTCCAATGTCAAATATTCAGAACTGAGCACTGATATGCTWAAAAAAAGCCAGATAAGATGAGACAAACAACAAGATTAATGTTGAAAAAACCTTCAACRAACATATATTAATCCAAAATGAACCCACAGATTCAAAGATGTCTAACATGTCTGCAGATTTTTCTTGTTTCTGATTTTACTCTTTAATATTTGCTACAGAGGACACATATGAGCGGACGCTGACAGTAGAYGGAGAGGAAACAACACTGCTTGTCATGGATACATGGGAAAATGACAAACTGGTAAAATGTTTTTTTTAAATATGCAGTTTTGATAACAGAAAAATGAATATTATTGTTCTCAAAGTTTGGCACTTCAAACTAAAAGTTTGACGAACTTCTAAAATAAATGACAAAACAGGACATCTCAAATTGYGCAAATTATGGCACTTTTAGCTTTCCGTACTTTCATCTCTCTCTTTCCTGCAGCATTCTGTTTTCCACACAACTCTTTGAAACCAAACATGCAGGTTTTCAAGCTCCTGTGTGTCGTCTCAGCTTACCGTCCTTGCTTTGCTTTGATGTAGAGTGCTTTAGAAAGTTTTTTTATATCAATGTTTTGTTAGAGCTGGCAAAAAGCAGCAAAACAAAAAACATATGATCCCTCCTAAAGATGAGACCGGTGATTAACGTGACTAATTTTAAGGGTACATATCCTGTAAAATCCACTTTTTTAGCCATTTAATACATTTTATTGTGGACTTGGAGTGCAKAAAATTTGAATTTAGTCTCTCTTGGTCCTGCATRGATRTCTTTATAKTCTGTTTGGGTGATATTTTTAACTCSTTCATTTATCTCTTTTCTCTGTGACATTTAAAAATAARGTSTGGATTTACCAACTAACCAATTTGGTGGTCTTAATTYTCCTCTGGTTCWGGGTCGGACTTTGGCCCAACATGTAAGGCTGGATGGACAAGTCTTCCCTTGTTGACATCTTTTAATTCATTTGTAAATATAAAGTTTCTGAGTCCTTATATAGCCGTAAACCCCTCTATCAAACTAGAATGGAACAGTCTTAAAGCTTCAGGGGGCGGGGTGTGAAGTGCCTCATTTGCATCTAAAGAGACAGCCTCAAAACGAGTGGATCTTAGACACACCCCAGAAAAGGGGCGTGGCTTGTGGAGTTACAGTAAAGCATTGCAGTTCTACTTTATATAGACCCCCAACTGAATGATTTAAATGTAAAAAAATGTAACTGTTTCCCAAATAAAAGTCAACAAACAACTAAATTCTATCAATCTGAATTTCTTGTTTTATATTTAAAAAAATAAAAGTTGCTTCTTTGTGTCTGTGGTTCCTGTCAGGAGGAGGATGACCCATCTTTTCTTGAAGACTGTCTGAAAGTGGGGAGCGCGTACGTCATCGTCTACTCTGTCACCGACCGCTCAAGCTTCGACTCRGCCGCTGAGCTCCGCATCACGCTCCGGCGCACTCGCCAGGCCGAAAACCTTCCCATCATCCTCGTGGGGAACAAGAGCGACTTGGTCCGAGCCAGGGAGGTCGCCGTGGAAGGTGAGGTCAAAGGTCACAGCAGGGAGAAATGTGAACGCACAACAGAAATGGACTGCTGCTTTAACGAGCGAACCTCTTTCCCCAGAGGGCCGAGCATGCGCCGTGGTGTTTGACTGTAAATTCATTGAGACGTCTGCATCTCTGCAGCACAACGTGGCCGAGCTGTTCGAGGGCGTGGTGCGGCAGATCCGTCTCCGTCGGGACGGCAGCGAGGTCACGAAGCACAGGAGCTCCATCTACAAACGCAAGGAGAGCCTCACCAAGAAGGCCCGCCGCTTCCTGGACCGACTGGTGGCACGGAAGAACCAGCGCATGGCGGTCAAAGTGCGCTCCAAGAGCTGCCACGACCTAGCTGTACTGTGAAAGACACACGTCCAACGACACTTTGATTTTGACTCGTTTATGGTTTGGCTGGTTGTGATTTTGTGGACTTTTGAGTTTCACAATCAGCAACTGACCTCAGAGAAACCAATCAGCAGCAAACTGAGACAAACAGACACTAATGTCCACACTGTGATCAGAACAAACAGCTCATGTTTCCGTTTAACTTTCTGTGACTTTTCCTCATGACCTAAAGGTTGAAGATGAATGTAAGGAATCATCACTGTACGGTTTAAAAAATGTATGTGTGCGTTTATGGACTGAACGATTTTCATCAGTGAGCATGTGGTTTTTGTTGTGTCCACTCTTGTTGTCCTGGGATTTTTTTTTTCTTTCAATTTTGAGTCCGAAGTGTAAAATAAAACTTTAGAGAATCTTTATTTTAAAATCATTTGTTGACGATGAC